AAAAAAATGATTTTTTTAAACTAGGGGAAATCTAAATACTGTTTATACTGTTAAATAAGTTTCTTTGAAAAATTACCTAAATACTGATTTTAACGTATCACTTAAAGTGTCCTTTAATATGTATAGATCTCGAAGCCATTCCTCAACATTATTTATTTATTTATTATTTTATTAATTATTATAATTATTAGTTTATTTTCTGGTTATTTGGCGTTTTACGGGTTGTACCCAAATACGATGGCACGATTTTTAATATTGTTTTTGTGTTTCTTCTATTATTATCCTGCAAAACACACTAACCACAAATACAAACTGTCGTAGATTAAATAGAAACACAATTTTTTACTCGAGCCAACAATAAATAATAATATAATTCTTGCCCTATGTCGCCGTATCCATCGAAAAGCAGCGGTATGACGTCACGATCATTCCCGCGCGTTTAGTGTCGCATAAAAGAAATAGCTGGGTGTCACAACTTCAATTATTTATTTCAACTTAAATATTGGGTATTGAGTTTAGATATTTGGAATACGTTATTTCGATACGTAAGCAAATGTATAAAAGAAATTAAAAAAATGTTCATGTTCTCTATTGTAAGCATAAATAATTGTTAAGCATAAAGTTCGGGCGGCCTATTCCTTGGTATAATAACAATTATGCCTATTAATTAGGATTCCGTTTCAAGCAAAGAGCGACGAAAATAGTAACTCCGCAGTAATTATTTTGGCTGGAAAACATGTTAATTTAGGTAAAGTGATTTCGGTAGCGCAATAATTTGAAGTCGAGACGTTTTAAGAGAGAACCCGCTCGACCTAGAGATCTTTGTTGAAGATAATTTAATGGCATAAAGTGAGCCGCATTGTCGGGACGACTAAAGAGTCTCCCGAAACACGCAACCCGCCGCGAGACTTTTTCTCACGATTGGGTCTCGGACGATTTTAAATGTAAGAAAAATGTACCGGGTGCCCCACATAACGTGATCCATATATTTTTCTTAAAACCTGTAATAAAGGGTGATTCAATAAGGGTTTCCACATTAAAATAATAAAAAAAAAACTCGAAAGAATATAAAAATATACAAACATTTTTATTTTCCATTTTAGATTAGTGTATTACAATTAGGTATGAAAGATTTCAAATGACCCCCGCGACTCATGTGGCATGACGTAATTCATTTATTGAAATTTCCTATCACTTTTTGACATAATTCAGGTTCTATGCCGGCTATTTCGCGTCTAATCTCCTGTCTCAGCTCTGGAATACTGTGTGGTTTATTTCTATACACTCTGCTATTTAGATACCCCCCAAAAAAAATCTAAGGGAGTAAGATCACATGATCGTTACGCCGTTACGTGAGGTAATCCGACCAGGAAACTTGCCCCGCAGCAATTGCATCGTTTCTCTGGATGTGTGACAAGTGGCTCCATCCTGTTGGAACCACAAATCTTCAATGTCCATACCTTCCAACTGCTCCCAGAAAAAATCAGATATCATGTTTCGATAGCGAACACCATTAACCGTAACGGCGTTCTCCGCATTATCCTTAAAAAAAAGGGCCACTGATTCCTTCGCACCAAACTGTCACTTTTTGAGGATGCATTGCTTTTTGAACAATCTCTCTTGGATTTTCTAATCCCCAAAAACGAGGATTGTGTTTGTTTACAAAGCCACCAACTTGAAAATGTGCCTCATCGCTAAAGATGATATTTGTTGAAAAATGAACCCCTTGTTCTCGTATCCATTCTGCAAACACGCGAGGTTTCAACTCCTGAGTTATTTGGACTTTATATGGGTGTAGATGCAAGTATTTTATTAAAATTCGCTGTGTGGTTGAATACGTAAGGCCCATTTGCTGCGATCAATGACGAATCGGTGTGTTTAGATCTTCGGCTACACTTTCGCAAACAATGGCAATATTTTGATCTGACCGACCTGCACAAGCACATTGAGGGACTTTGAGGTTAGTTACAGATCCAGTTTTCTCAAATTTTTGCACCACATTCCAAATTGTCCTCTCAGAAGGTCGATTTTGCACGCCGAAAAATTCACGCAGAGCCCGAAATGCATTTTTTCTTGATCGACCATTTTCATAATAGGCTTGCACAATTTTTACATGTTGTTCAGTCGTATAGTGCTCCATGACTAATTTTGTTTATGTTTGAAGGTTAGAAATCTCATATGATAATAAACAAATACAATGGCGTTTCATAAATATTTCAGATTGTAATGTGGAAATTCTTATTAATTCACCCGTTAGTTATCAAGGACTTTTAAATACAAAAGTTCCTTGTTCTTCGCTTTCGACATCAACTTTGAAATTTTAAGAACAACGTCATAAATTTTATTGCGTTTTACGATTTAGTGATAAAAACAAAGGTAACTTTCATCAGATCGACGTATTTCTTTTTCGTACGGTTTAGGAAATATTTAAGGTTATGGGACTTATTATTGAAAAATCTGCATATTTAGAAAAGCCCGCAAAATAAATATTAGGATTACTAGTAATATTTTCAGACTTAGATTTAATGAATGTTTTGCGATGTATGCTGTATCTCTTTACCCCAGGTCACATTTAGCATCTTTTATGGAAATTTCGGGATCGCACTGGAAAACAAAAACAAAATATCTAATTCTTGGTTTTACATCAACATAACATTTGTTGGGTTTATTATTCTTCAACACTCTTTCAGTAAAGTCTCTTATAATTCGAGAACATATTTTTTGCCTCGAATTATGCTGTTGGAAAAGTCATTTTCCATGTTCTTTTACTGCAAGCGCTGATCGTTTTTATTTTCAATACCTTTGTAAAAGAAATATCTTGTATTTTGGTTTCAATCTATTCACTTTACTCTTTAAACAACAATTACAAATCTAATCTTAACTAACATTTAAAACTGGAATTTTAGGCTTTCTTGATTTTGAGCTTCGTATCACCAAAATAATAGTAACCAACTTCCCGAGTAATATGACTTTTCCTCAGCAAAAGCAGACTTTCAGGCAAGAAAGCATTTGGATTCGTATGCCTGCTATAGAAGATTCGAAAACTATTCATTTTTTGTATTATGAGTTTTTTAAATAATAATAATAAAAGTATTTATTTGAGTTTACCATATTGTTATAGTTTTTTGTCTCAAACAAACATTTTTATTATAGTTCTTTTCAGGAATGCAATACTCAATGCGCAACATTACTTTTTAAGGAGAATGCGCAACAAAATGATAAGGAGTCGCATATTTCCAGAATGCATATAGGTATAGATGTTTTATGCTACTGAAGGTATAATATATATAGTGTGCTATTTAAAAAAATCTGGTACTAACAAATTGCAGTTAGAAAAGACACCCGGTATAATTCTAAACTCAAAAATCACGAAATGGCAGGATCAGGGCATATCGACTACATTCATTGTCATTCTCTTTGACATCCAGGAATGGGGTTGGCTTGTCTTTCTCAATAAATGGCGTTTACATTTGTGAACTCACGGTGGGTGCGAAAGGCCAGATTATTTGCGAAGAACATACACGATAAAGTGATACAAACTTAATTACAGCTCCAAAATCGTCTCCTTTGAAGTATTTGAAATATATATCTGATATTCTTGTTGATGACCTGCGCGATTTCATATTTCTATATCTGGCAATATTACATCCTATGAAAACGATATAGATAGTAAAATGGGTGGTCCTATCTGGTGCACCGTCAACAGTTCGTTGAGATTGAGGGCTGTAGATCAGCTCCTTTTGTTCCAACATCTGGTGTGCCTCAGGCTTCTATCCTTAGACCACTCCTGTTCAATATATTCATAGAGGATCTCATATTTTTCATCGTCTGCGACAAGATTGCATATGCACTGCATCAAAACCGCTATGGACTGCATGACTTTCCAGGCTAACTTCAATATTGTTAGCCAGTGCAACATTACTTTGTGCAACATTACTAAAAACAAATTGCATCTTAATAGCATCAAGTGTAATGAGGTTATATATCTGCCACGCTCCGTCCCCTGAGAGTGTGCAGAGAAGGTTATTGAAGTATCTAATGTTCAGAGAACAGTATCAGAAGTATCATCTCTCTGCAATTTAGTTCATTAGGGAATCAATTGTTGGTTTCTGTTGGAACAATTGCGTTTTCATGTTCCGCGTAAGGGACAACTTTCTCAACACAATTACCTGATCCGATATACATTGTCAAAACTTTACATATGTCTGTTAACTTCAACAAATTATCATCCCAATATGACTTATATTATGATGGTCTCCAGTCAATACTTAGAGTGGAGTCGGGTGATCCGTAGTGAACAGCCTTACCTTTTTCTTTTTTTTTTGTTTCTTTTCTTAGTCATAAAATTAGTAGAATTAAGATTAGTTTTTTATGTCCACCGTAATTAATATATCATTATATTCAATATTTCCTGTAATTGGATCATCGGTATCAGGGATGTACCTACTAAAACATCTAGAGTTTATCCATTAGATTGAACTTCTGAACCTTATTTTGATCGAAGCTTAAGCTTAAGTTCGCCTAGCTGGGACTCCGTATGATCTAATTCATTAGTTACAGCACTAACGTGGACTTATTTAAATAGCAGAAAGAAAGTTTAAACAACAAACAATTTTTTCTGAGACTCTTGACCTTCAACGGACCTCAAACGTTTCGCAACTCTCAAAAACGCCATCGGTACGAAGCCAAAAATTTCGCTAGATCGACCCACATAAATCAATCGCAACTTAACAGGTGAAATCAACCTTAGAAAATGCAGTAATAGAATGGAGAAAGCAGACGTTACGTAAGGACGAAATCGACAATCGAAACCGAAACCGGGCAAAAAACGGCCGGCGTTGCACCGCAAAGCGAACCAAAATTGCCGGGCATTGGGAAAAAGCAATTGGTAAATCTGCGTACCGGAAAATCGACAAATCAAACTAGAACTGATTTCGTTGGTATAAATACTAAATAGAAACAGCGTAAAAACAGTACCAAGAGAGTGCTCGCCGCGTTAAAATGCGAGTTTATATTTTATCGGTAGGAGTTTGTTTGCTTTTTGCACTAGCTGCGGCGAGGGTGGTCGTCAAAGAGGAAGATGCCGCCGTTAGTGCTACCAAGGGAGACTTAGCTGTTGCAGAGAGTGGACATGGTCACGGCCATTCGAGCCACCATGAAGAGGGCGGTGGTCATAAGCACCACGCTCACCATCACGCTGAGCACGGCGAGAAAGGTGACAAAGGACACAAGTCAGATCATCACCACGACAAAGGTCACCACGGCAAACACGGCAAACACCACGAGGCTCATCATCATGGCGAGAAAGGCGGCCATCACAAGCATCACCACGATGAAGGAGGCCATCACAGCGAGCACCATGCTGGTGGGAAGCACCACAAAGAAGGCAAATTCGGGGAGAAGAAAGGACACAAGAAAGGTCAGAAAACTACCGGATTCCACCATAAGTCCCACAAAGACGAGTACCATAAAGACCACAAGTTCTACGACGACTACCACAAAGGAGGACACCACAGCAAACACGGTGAACACCACGGACATCACGGAGGCAAAGAGGGTCACCACAAGAAAGGAGGTTCTCATAAGAGCGGTCATCACGAAGATCATCACGGAAAGAAAGGACATTCCGCAAAGGGACATTACGATGAAGACCACAAAGGCCACAAAGGACATGGCGGACACGAAAGCCATCACTCGCACCATTCGGACTATGGAAAGAAAGGAGGTCACGCCGGTGGAAAGGAATACGGATACAGTCATGGCAAGAAACATTAGATTTGCTGATTATGCCAAAGAGCCCTACGATTTTCGTAATTTATTTTTTATCGAAATTTTCTTGATAACGTTCGCGGTAATGTTAACCGATGGCAGACAATAACAATTATTATCGTTATATCATATTTGTTATAGTATTTTTGTTATTTTTGTGTACGTGTGTGTAATAAAATGTTATGTAAAGTTTAATTTTTTATCCATTTTCGCATTTTTAACACCAAGTTTATTTGAGTGAAGTTTCGCAAAATTATAAAGTCCAAAAACATGAGTTTCAATTTAAAATATAATGCTGAAATAATCCAAAAAAAGAAATTGTGGTAACTATATTAATATTAAGTCATTACATTTTCCGTATACAGACGAATAATACACTGACGCAAAAAATAATATGGCAGTTGAAACGAATGAATAATAAATTCGCTTACTATCGACGTCCAAATTTATCACGTTATTTAGGAAGTTTATAAAATTTATAATAATCTCTTTGATGGCAACGGTTTTATAATCTTGTGAAGGACAACCGGATACGATATATCAACAAAACTAATCTCGTTAGTAAAGTAAAACAGTAAAAAAATAGCATATATATTTTTTTATAGTGTCGCTTTATATTCTAAATGCAAAATGACCAATAATGTAGGGATATTAAAAGTATTTCATTCGAAACTGGCAATGTTATTCAGGCGGTGCTAGTGGCATTCTGAAGTTGTTAAGTTTAGCTCTGAAGAAGCCAACAGGATGATTATGAAACGTTAGCAAGTGAATTAATTAAATGAGTTAATTAATTCTAAATTGTTTTCAAAATAATAAATTAATCACAAACTTAATAACTGAAATAATCCTTGAAAATGTGAAGAGTAGAGTAGATAATTAAATCGATTTTTTATTTTTTCTTTCATATTAACTTTAAAGTCGCAAGAAAAAGTAACTCAAAAACATCAAAGAAACATCAAAATTTCAAAATAGTTCAAATACCTCCCGAACTAAATATTATGATGATTTTAAATTATCGGACGAATCGACTAAAATAAAAATTTCATCTATTGACGTGCCTTTTGTCAAAATTGGCAAGGTTTTGTAGCCAATACTAAATGCTTGAACTGAAGGTAAGTTAAGTTAAGCTTTGACCAGTATGATTTTCGAAATGTCAACAAGTCAATAGTAAGAGTAAGGGTCGAGTGTCCTGTGAGAAGGCGTCGCAAAGATGTGATTTTTTTTAGGAATTAATAAAAGAATAAATAGGGTTTCAAAACAAATTATGTTAATAACATTTTTGAAAGTGCTTTTTTTGTTGACACGAGTTGGGCTTAAAAACGCTTGAAATATTAGTAAACAATTATTGACAACTTCGCCTTTAATTTTTTGATATTACGTTGTGTTGTTTGAAAAGTGTATTTTTCTTTTCCAGTAGAAGGCTATTTAATTGGAGTTTTGCGATCTTAGAGGCAAAGACTTTAATATTTGGCCTAAAGTAATTTACAAACGTGCACATACGTAAAAGACAGTTAAAAGTAAAAGCATCAATCTGTTACCTTTTTCAAAAATTGCATTAATTTCCTTAAATTTTCTTATACTTTCCATTACTTTACCTTCTCGTTTAATACAAATCTGGGTGAAAAGTGCTGGAAATAGTATATTATGCAACAAGTGCGGTAAACGGCATTTGACTTTTTCTACGACAGTTAGTTTTTGGGTACATTTTCGCAAAACACGAATACATTCACTGATATGACTGTCAGAATTGACAAACGTGAAAATTCAAAGCGTGGGAAATATCTCCGAAAACATCCGATTGCTCCCAAACCCGTGCGGTAAAATCCCGGAAATGTCCGAAGTGGCTCAGATTGCTAAGTGCGTAATTAGGTATTTTACAGACGGGAGTAGAAAAACAATATTTTACATAATACGATATAGCAATGAAAATATTAGTGATTAATAACATTCTTATCCACAGCTGTGCAATGAAACATACGAGGTTAGAGCCAAAATTTCCCCCCCTGACATAGATGCAGCTCCAGTATCACGATAGAACTTTGTCTTCTTTTAAATATATATCTTAGTAGGCTGCGAAAAAAAATTGAAGTCCTGCGTCAAATAGTTTTTTATTGACAGCATTTTAAACAAGACGTGTCCGAAAAAATATCGCATATAACGCAAATTGAGTATAGAGCAGTCATAAAGTTATTGACAAAAGAAGGGTTAGCACCTAAAGTTATTAAAGAAAGACTGGATGGTGTGTACGGCCAAAGTTCTACTTCGTATTCTGTAGTGAAAGAATGGGCAAAACGTTTTCGAATGGGGTAGGACTCCCTTGAAGATGATTCAAGAACTGGTCGACCAATGGAGGTCATAATGGAAGATATTGTTGCGATTGTGGAAGAGGTGGTATTGAGTGATCGACGTTTAAAGGTCAAGGAAATCTCAAAAATTACTAAGCTTTCTGATACAAGTGTTCGTTGAATCCTGCATGATCATTTAGGTATCCATAAGATTAGTGCAAGATCGGTTCCTAAAAACCTTTCAGCTTATTAAAAACAACGCCGTGTCGAGTGTGCGCGGACTTTTTTGGAACTCTGTGGGTCAGAACGGAAGCCTGTGATAGAAACTATTGCGACGGGAGATGAAACTACGGTTCTCTATTATGACCCTCTATCGACAAAAGAATCAATGGAGTGGCGTCGTAAGGGTGAAGCACCTCCAAGAAAATTCAGTCTGCCAGTCAACAACAAAGGTGATGGCCACGATCTTTTGGGATTGTGAAGGAATTCTTTTGATAGATTTTAAAGAAACTAGTACCACTGTCAATGGTAAATATTACGCAACATTATTACACAAATTGCGAGACTGCATACGTGTAAAACGTCGAGGAAAACTGACCAGAGGCGCGCGTCTTTTGCACCATAATGCACCTGCCCATACTGCTGGTGTTGCAGAAGCTGCCATTTTAGTGTGTGGGTTCCGACAGATAGATCATCCTCCCTATAGTCCAGATACAACATTTAGGTAACGCCTGAAAAATAACTTAAGTTCAGCTAACACCTACGATTTCTATGTTGCTATTTATTAGCCCCTAAATTGCCATGAATGCCTTCTGTGTGTCGTCACCAATTGGCAAATACCAACCCAAAAAACCAGAGTAAATAGTTTTACATATATGTTTTTGTCATTCACCTGTAGCTTAAATTTGTGTTGGCGTAAATAAAAAATAGCCATAAATCAAGCACTAAAACCTATTCCCGGGCGGTGATGATGCCACGTAGGAACGGCTCAACGTAAAATCCACAATAATCACTGGAATAATCGCCATTACCAGCAAATAATATAAATCACATGTACGGAACACTGTTTTGACAAATAAATCCACAAAATAACTAGGGCCGTGTTAGTTTATTGCATCGATGAAATTTCCATTTGACCTATTTTACAGGTATTTAAATTTAAATTAATTAATCGTGTTCAAATAAACGTTAGATAATAGCATTTCAATTAATCTGTAGGCATTTTACCGCAATATGAATGATTAGGCAAGGCGTTTTTTCATCGTGTCGGAATAAACTGAACACGGACGAGTTGAAACCACACCTAGTTGCATAAAAGTGGTCCATCATGAATTTCGTGGTTAACGAAATCAATGAAGAACTGAAATCTACCAACACAAGGAAAACTGCCCGGGTATTTTAAAAGAATCGAAAAAATATAATCATTTATAAACAAATTCAAATTTTGAACTGAGGAGGCTTTTACTTGATGAAAATCCATTTATCAAAATAAATAAGAACAAAAAGTTCAGATTTTCAGGAAATTATATATTTTTACATGACAACATGATCATAAACCTTCACACACGAACACAGTCATATATAACAGCTCAAATCACCCTTATACACACAAAATGGCTGCATTTAACTCTTTTATATACAGACTTCTTAATACGCCACTCTCAACAGAAAATTACAACAAAGAACTTAATATCATTAAACAAATTGCACTGAACAACGGCTACAGTCCGTTCATTATAGATAAAATTATAAATAAAAAACAAACACAGACAACAGTAAACTCTATTTATCCGAAACCTAATACAGACACGAACAATTTTAAACAATTACATACATAGGCGAACCTAGTGAAAAAGTTTCAAAAGATTTGTCAAAATGTGGTTCAAAAATAGCTTTCAGAACTAACAACACAATAGGAAAATATCTAAAAAACAATAAATCCAAATGTCCAAAATCCAAAAAAATCAGGTGTCTACAGGTTGAAATGTAGATCTTGTCTTAAAATTTATATTGGACAAACAGGTAGAGCCTTCAAGAAACGCATTAACGAACATATAAGAGCGTTTAAAAACAATAGTCTAGATTCTAATTATACTACACACTTAAACACAGAAAAACACATTTTTGACGACAATTTTGATACATTACATACAGCCACAAAAAGTAGAAAATTAAATTGATTGGAAGCCATTAACAAAATGAGACATTCAAATGTATTGCTAAACGATCAATTAGATTTAAATACCTGTCCTTTATTGAACTTAAATTCTGGCAACAACATTAATTAAGGTTTTATGGTCATTTTTCGTTATATATAGTAGGAGGTAGTTTGTAAGTATTACATTTTATAAAGACACGGTGTTGTCCAAACAATTGTCATGTCAAAATATATAACTTCGTGAAAATCTGAACTTTTAGTTCTTATTTATTTTGAATTCAAATTTTCATTGTGAACAAATATTTTTTAGTCTATTTGGACTAAAATATTATTATTATTGAATTGTTATTTTTTCTTTAATGTATTTTCTCTGTTGTGAGTGTTAATATTCCTTATTATTTTTTAGTTTTCCATTTATGTAGGTATTTGTAAGACTGTTCATATATTTGTGTTTTATATTTTACACTAGCATGTCATTTTTTTCTCTAATTCTTCCTGCAGAAATATATTTAAATAAAAAACAGGTCTATGTCTATGTCTAATCATACCGATGCAGTTTCTATATTACTATCATTTATTTCATCTGTGGTAAAAATCGTGATTATTATGAATAGAATAGACTAATCAATTAAAGGCAGTGGAAATGTTAGGTATTAGGTAGCTGCCGAGTGGACACCTAGTTCAGCCGAGGTCATGGTTACCGGATTTGTCGTTTAACGTGGCATAATTCTAAATAGTAAGCGTTGCTACGCGGTTTCACACGGTTAATACCGTTAAATCCCTTCACTGCCTAAAATTTAAAAACAATTTGGCATTTTGGGCATTTTTTGGGAAAGAATTTGATGTCCAAAGTTAACTAAAATCCGCCAGTCGCACAGTGTTTCTATTATTATCGATGCGTTCTCGTGATTTAACTGAAATTTGTTTAATCGGTTTTAAGATGAAAATTCAGAAACTCTGGATTTTATTTGATTGAATAGACCTTACCCTTTTAAAAATTTCGGAGGTTTTACGAAAATCTGGATATATTTTTTCACCAAAAATCGAGTTAAAAATCTTCTTGAGCGTATTTACTTGGAGAGCTTTATTTTAACATCTATGACATTTTTCAAAATTCTAAAAAAATTTGAAAAACAAATTAAAGTTATAGTTATAATATCTGCCAAATAAGTATAAAAATCAAAATCTCAGTTACCATATAAATTAGTTTGTAATAAAAAATACATATTTTTTATTGCGTATTATAATATATATTAATGTTATATGTTATGCAAAATTATTTAGTGCAATTTAAAATTCGTCTACCAATTAACAATTTTTTTAACTACACTGAACCTTGCCAAATAAAAGAAAAACAATATTCTTAAAATAAAACTAGGGCGTAAGGACCTTACTAGAAAATAATATACAACTTTTGAATGGTAAAACCTATTGAAAATCATTAAATATTTCAGAAATTTTCTTCACTTTCTAGGGATGATAATTCATAATATATTTTCAATCACAAATAATTAAAGCTTACCAAAGTAGACTGAAAATGCGAATTCGTATTCTTGTTATTCTTTGCATAGTTAATAAACAACATTCTTACCGATATTTATAATCTCGTTTTCTAAAAATATTACTTTATCAAACACACAAGTTGTTACAAGTTGGGACAGGACCGAATAATGTCTAATGCCTATGGTCCTATGGACAGATGTTTATAATTTTAGTAGGCTGATTTCAAAAATTCTATCCATTTATTTGTATCACGTAAGGCTTTTTTTGCAAATATTATGGAAATAAAACGATATTTCTAAAATAATTTATTTTGTTTATTCCCTGAAAGTGTCATTCGTCCGCCATCATCGTTATGCTCCATCTTTCTTGGTATCGCCGTTCCATTTCCTTAATGTCCTGGTGAAACGTCTCTCCCTGTTCTTCGCCAACTGCTCCAAGATTTTCAGGAAAATAGTTCAAGTGTGGAAACAGGAAATGCACTTTCAATATTTTCGTTGTTTTCGTCCTTAGTGTTCCCAAGAAACTTATCAATTACTTCTATAAATGAAACCCAGGCGTTTTTCTTGACATTTGTCATTGTATTTTGAAAATACTTGTCTTTGCATAATGATCTTATATGCGGCCCAACAAAGATACCTTCTTTTATCTTGGCATCAGATATGGCTGTTCATTTTTATTTAGGGCTTTAAAAAACTGCTTCATCCATCCAAGTTTGATATGAGGAGAAGGCAGTAAAACTTTTTTGGGGTCAACTAAGCTATCTCTTAATACATTTTTGCTACCAGGTGGAAGGCTTGTTCTAGAGGGCCATTCAATTTGAATCCAGTGTCTATCTCTTGCCCGACTATCCCACTCGCAAATAAAGCAAGGAAATGTTGTTGTCCTAGCAGCATGTACAGCACTTTAAGGTCACCACAAAGCATCCACTGTTGTTCTTGGTAGTTTATTTTCTTCACGAGAAGTATTACATTTTCATACGTTTCTTTTAAATGCACCGAATGTGCAACGGGACCTGAGTAAAGTGCAATAAACCTCCTTTTAAACTACGCTGACTTGAGTCAGTAAACAGGCGCCATTCTTCTTACATATACGGCATATTTTCTAATTCTAAAACTAAGTAAAGAATATTGTTTCAATACACTAGCGGTCCTTCCTGAGTAAAATATTGACATAACTCTTTTTCGTGATCTCGGTAAAAGCTTGGTGTGACGCCAGGTACCAGTAAATGTTTGTCACGAAGTCTGGACGCTAACAATTCGGATGCATACTTTGGAAGGTGCCAGTCTCTAATTAAACCATTTAATTCGCTCTGGTTAAACACCTCGGGCTCTCTGAAATCTAGCGTGAAATCTGAGTCATCTGTCAAATTCCGTTTTCTAGTTCTTTTGGGACGGTAGGTATCGGTACATCTGGTCTATAGGGAACTAGTTGAATTGCAGAGTCGAAATTGGGATACACAATTTGTTTCTTATTTTTTCCGTTGCACATTGCACATTACACGAACAAAATTAATCGTCATTGTGATTCCTAGGCTTTCGCCATACCATACGAACACCAAAGATTAAGCATTTCATCCTGCCTTTTTGCCAGTTTCTTAATGCTTTAACGCAAACGGAACAAATAGTATGAGCAGTATGAGGACTTACCTTGGTTGCCAATTTTTACACCAAATTAAGCGTGGTATACATTTTTCACAAAAGAAGTTATAGTTTGCCTTTGCTTTACGACGACATAAGTACCACAGATAAAACCAAAAATTATTTGGATTCTTCGCACAATGCTTTCTTTCCATATTTGTAACACTAGAAATACGCAACAACGAAGACAACAGCCGCGAACAATACAATACAATTAAACTGCGCATTAGCACGTTACAAGTCTGTATTGACGCTTTTGCGCCAAGTCTGTGGTGTTGCCAAATCACATTTAATTTTATAAAAATCAATTCATTTAAAAATCATGAATAACATGACACATACATTCATGGCATAGGTGTGTCTATTAATAAAATAACATTTTTTACATATAATAGAGCGCTATAACAAATGACGTGGTAGAGCAAAAATATGGCATTTTTTGGAAACAGTGCACCCAAACATCAAAATTTGTTAACAATAATTTTCATTTTAACTATCGGTGTGTTATACTGTGAGCCGATGATTATTTCAAATTATAATAATTTCTTTATTTAATTGCAAATTGTCACACATTCTTTTGGAACCAAAGTTTTCTCCGGATTGCGCAAATGTAAAAATTAAATTAATTTAATTGTAGATCGTAATTTATTCTTAACCTATAAACAGACTGTTTTCACGATAAAGACTTCCTGTGAACATTGTAAACTATACAGAAATTAAAAACAGTTATATGAAGTTCCCGTACTCACTTACAAAATTAATTTATACTTTATTATAATAATTTCTCACTGAAATTCTATTATAAATTAAAATGCAGTTATAATTCACAATACAAGAAATTTCAATTTTCTTTCCATTTGGAGGTTTAATAAAATTCTTTGTTATTTAATTTGATGTTTGCATATTTAATTAATGTAAAATGTTTAGTATAAAACTTTTGTTCAGTTGAGAGATGTCATTTCCAAAATAACAATTGCATTTTTTTAAGATTACAAAACTCCAAAGGCAACTCTCTTAACTTAAAGATGCGTAATTAAAAAAAGTTTACTTAGTATTTTAGTTTGACCGAAGTAAAATTTGATATATATTATTGCACTTCTTTACCAGCGGATGCAGTTATTTAAGAAAAAGAAGCCATTAATATACAAAAGCAACCTTTTCAAGTCTTGCTCCGAGAGCTAAACAAAAATAATTTAAATAAAATTGGGACAAATTCCATCGTAATGCGATAGAACAATCAAGACGATTTGTTCATTTAAATTTGCTTTATTTTGTTCTAGCTATATCGTTTTTAATTAAAGGCGGTTCTGTCGATCCTCGAGCAAAAACAATGGGACTAAAAATCAATTTATTATTTACGGACGGAGCTGCGGTTTCTGGCCATAAGTTTTATGTTTTAATCGAGATTACACTAGACAGCAAAAATGTGCGACAACGAATCTGAATTAAACCGGCGAATTTACTTTTTCACAGCAACAGCGGATTCCCGATCTAGGTAAGTATAACAGTTGCATAAATCATCTAACAACACAGCGTTGACAAAAAAGGTTTGTTGCAATTGTAATAATTCGCCGCGAAATCAGCGCCGCAAATTGTTAAACTCTTAAGAAATAGGTTCCTATAAATAGCAAAGTTCTTGCTTTGCTAAGGTAGACAATCGGTGTTAGTCGTTAAACAAAGACAAAATGAAGGTGTTCCTCCTATCGTTGGGGGTGCTTTTCGTAGCCGCCCTCGTATCATCCAAATCCCTTAAAGGGGAAGATGAGGAATTGGTGTCGGATTTGGAAGTAGCTGCTTCCCATCACGGCCATTCGAGTCACCACGAGGAAGGTGGAGGCCACGAGCATCATGGTCATCACCATGCCAGTCACGGCGGTAAAGGCGACAAGGGCTACAAGCACCACCATCACCATGACAAAGGGCACCATGGCAAACACGGTAAACACCACCACGCTGCCCATCACGGTGAGAAAGGAGGACACCATAAATCGCACCACGATGGTGGCGGACACTATCATCATCACCATGCCCACGGAGGTCACCACAAGGGTGGAAAATTCGGTGAAAAGAAGGGCCACAAAAAAGGACAGAAGACCCATGGTCACCACCTTAAAGAACATAAGGACGAGTACCACAAGAAGCACAAGTTCTACGATGGCGCCCACAAGGAAGGTCATCATGCTAAGCACGGACACCATCACGGTCACCACGGTTCTCACAGCGGTCATCACAAGAAGGGCGGGCACCACAAGAGCGGACACCACGGTGGACATCACGGGAAGAAAGGACACGGATCCAAAGGACACTACGACCACGATCACCATGACCACAAAGGACATGGTGGACACGAACATCACCACAAACACCACAGCGACTACGGAAAGAAAGGTGGTCACCACGAAGGCAAAGAATGGGGATTCAGTCACAAGCATTAACGAAGAGAGTGAGTTTGGTTATGTGATTGCGTTTGTTATTTGTTATTGTTTTGTTTTTGTTGTTGAGATTGAAAATTTACCGAAAATAAAAAAAATATAAAAAATGTTGGTGCTTTGTTTCGATCAACTAACTTAAAATTTAACAAAGATTTTTAATACTTTGAAGTTTAAATTTCTTAATAATGAGCGGCAAACAAGCAATGTGCAAATTTTATTTTCCATCTTTTGAGAAGTTGAGTAGATTTGAGAAAAATCTCAATTATAATTCATTTCTGTTTTGATTTAATCAAATTCTCAATTCGGTTAGATTGCAATTTTTACAACGATCTTAAAACCTATTGCTATAAAAAAAAAACTTACTACGAAAACTATCCTTCCTTACCTGAATATAAAATTTAATAATTTCACAAATAAATAGGCTTTCTTACCTATCGCCTATAAAGCATTTACATCGGTTGAATTTCGTAAAGAAAAACAAACGAGTTTTACAGCGATTTTAAGCGATTTAACCTAAAATTTGAGTATTTCGCTGGACAATCAGTTTCATCCAATTCGAGGTGACCAATTCAACCACAACTAATCTTCTCAAAAACGATCTAAATTATTAATGGCCTTATTCGTTTGCAATTCATCGTAATTAATTGTTTTGTATGAAACTTCAATTATATCGTTTCCAACGGCGTTTGTAAAATTTCAGCAATTTATTTTATTGAGTTATTTAAATGCATTCGCTTTGAACACAAGAGTGCTTCGCCTGCAATTTAGCGTTGTACTCAGTCTATCCCACTGCAAAAATTAGCCTTTGTTGCGTCCAAAGTGACTTCGGCTAGTGGGCATTTACGATAAACAAAGGTGGCTAAACTGGTTAAAGTGGCAGCACTTTATCTTGGCATGAATAAGCCCAAGCCAATTTTCTTCTCAGTTACATGTACAGTGTGACCGAAGCGGAACAAGCCCCGCCCACCACCAATCGGCATAAATACAACCTGCGCAGGAGAAATCGTCAGTCTACGTCCAACATCGGAGATGGAAGGACCTCTGAAGAAGCTCGCCACTCGTGCTAGCGAAACGTTAGGAAGTAATTCCAATCGACGACGGCCTTTAAACCCGAATCAAGATAATAGCTTTGACCGAAAGTCGTTGTCATTGCGATTATAAGTAAAACTAGAAGCTTGCCCTCAACAGACTAGGTTTTTCAGATTTGTTTAAATTTTTTTGGTTATGAATCAATAACACCGACGCATGAGGAATCCACAAATGTTGTAAATAGTATTACAGTAGCCTGTGAAAGTTTCCTTGAAAAACTTTAACATTTGTTTTAAATTTAACTTGTTAAAGTTCTAATTCATTATTTTAAAAAGTTGGTTCTAACCGAAACAAAAAAACGCTTTGTCTTTCGAATTATGAATGTTATATAAAGTGCTGCGATTTAATTAATTTGTTAATTAAATTGTTCTAAATATTATAGCTCTCCACAAAGACTTTGGAAATGTTTAAAAGTATTACATGCTTGTGTTGTTTTGTGCTGTCTCGTGAAAATACGGATAAAGCATCTGAGCTGTTTGAATAAGTATAATGGATAATAAAGTAGGTTTTACTTCTATGTAACTATTACACATGTATTATCTAGGTATACGGAACTAGGCAGTAGGTAGGTTTCAAACCAACCTAATTAATTTTGCATAGTTTCGCAAAGGTCTACCAAAAACGTATCATAAATCGTATAGGGAAATTAATGAAATTCTTGTAGAAAAATTGAGGTTAGTGTTGGCGTCCGAAAATCCAAGTGGGGGAGAAACGTATCCTTGCTTCACCACCATCTAACGGGTTGATTTGTTGGGGGTGTGGACTGTATTCTTGCGGGGCTGGTTTATTTTAAATGATAGCCGTTTAACACAACACAAACTATATTCTGTCACAACGCGACGACGGTACAAGATAAGGCATTTAACAATCGGTTTATTTGAGTTAATCACAAACACAATTTGCGTTAAAATAGAGATTAAACTTCCTCGAAAGAAACCATTTGAGGGGCTAGTCCAAAGAGGACACCGACTTATAAGGGAATATTAAGAGTGAAAGGGGCTTAAAGGGGGGGTTTAGCGATAGGGCGATTTTCACTTTTCTATCGTCAAGGGCGGTCGCGGTCGACTGACTAACTGCGCGCAACGCATGTCTGGAAAACAGGCGCCGTCGGGGCGGTCAGTCACGTCTATGCAGCGTGATCAAGGGAGGCGATAGACGTTGTCACGTCTAACGCAATATCCGCGTTTCAGGGTTCGCGAGGGCATTGGGTTGTTTTATCAACATTCTCCCCCGGTTGAAGTTACACTTCAAAAGAGGAAGCATGGAGAAATAAAGAGATTTAAGGGTGAATATGGGAAAAAGGGGCTTCATCTCTCGGTAGAGGACAAATCTTTGTTATTGGCCTGGTTAGCTCGCCAGCAGGGGTTTTAAGTTTGACAACTCGAACCTTATCGTCAGAGCTTGTAATCACATCAATGATTCTCGCGAGCGACCACTTAAGGGGAGGCAATCCGTCCTCTTTTACTAGAACCATATCATTGATTTTCAAGTTTTCACAAGGGTGGAGCCATTTTGGGCGATTTTGCAGTCGGTTAAGGTATTCAACTGACCATCGTTTCCAAAACTGTTGCTGCATCTTAGAGCATCTTTGCCAGAACGCTAGGCGATTTTCTGGCGTACCACTAAAGTCTCTATCAGGGAAGGCGGTCATGCTAGAGCCTATTAAAAAATGACCAGGGGTTAACGCTTCAAAGTCGCAGGGGTCATTGGAGATTGGACATAAGGGCCTTGAATTCATTATAGCTTCAATCTGAGCCAAGACAGTGTAAAGATGTTCGAAAGTCAATATTGAGTTTCCGACAATTCGCTTAAGGTGGTACTTAGCACCTTTGATGGCACTTTCCCAAATACCACCCCAGTGTGGAGAACTTGGGGGTATGAATCTCCAGATTATTTCATTAGGAGTCAAAAAATCTTGGATGAAGTTTTCTTCTTGAATAATAGTTATAATTTTTTCTAACGCACAATTCAATTCTTGTACCGAGAGGGGACTAGAGAGTTTATTTTGGTTTCGAGAATTGTGGACAAAGCGTAAACAATAGGCAAAAGTGCGACGTAACTTAGAGAATCGGGAGAATTTTGTGAATAATTGTTGCCAAAAGTTGTTTACCGAAGATTTGCCTTGGACTACTAAAGCGATTTTTCTTTCCTCGGGTAAATCAGATAATTTGTAACCAATATCAAACTTTTCCAACTTTAACTCGGGATTTAATAAGAACTTGGGGCCATTCCACCAAAGGTCGCATTTTAGAATATCTTGAGGAGCTAAACCTCTAGAAGCGATATCAGCAGGATTGTCTGCAGATTTGATATGTCTCCAACAGTAGCTTTGTGTCAACTCCTGAATTTGAGATACGCGATTGGCTACGAATACGTTCCACCTGCTGGCGTGCGATTTGCACCAACTTCGGGCAATTTGGGAATCTGACCAAAGATTGACAGAAGCAACATCTAGTTTTTTACAGTAAGCATTCACAATTCGCTCATTTAATTGGGCTAAGAGCAACATGGCACATAGTTCTAATTTTGGAAGCGACAGTGACTTGAGAGGAGCGACTCTGGATTTGGAAGACACAAGACGAACAGAGACTGCATTATCAAAGTACATAACTCTCAAATAGATACAAGCAGCATAAGCTTTCAAACTAGCATCGGCGAAACCATGTATTTCAAGGATCTTGACGGGACTGTCTAAAAAGAGCGGTCTGGGTATGTTGAGAAAATTAAGTTTACAGAGATTTTGACAGAAGTTAGTCCATTCATGGATTATCGATTCTTCTGTAACTTCAGTATCCCAATTTGATTTTTGAAGCCAAAGCTTCTGCATGAGAATTTTGCCTCTAACTATAACGGGGTTAACGAGACCGAGGGGGTCAAAGCACTGAGCTATCGTCGACAAAATTTTTCTTTTAGTTATTGGACCTTCCAAGGAGCCTTGCGGTGTCGAAATTAAAAAACAATCAGATACAGAATTCCAAGTCAGACCGAGAATTTTGCTTGGAGAACCATCTAGATTCATGTTTCGAGTCAAATCTGATGCGTCAGGAATCTGATTAAGAAAACTCTTTGAATTTGAGGACCATTTGTGTAACTCAAATCCGGACTGATTCAATAGCATATTGAGTTCGTTGAACAAAATCCGCAGATCTTGCACACTATTACAACCAGATAAAATATCGTCTACATAACATTGATTCAATAGTGTGTCAGTGCCCAATGGGAAGTTGTGACCAGAGTTAATAGCTATCTCCTTTAGTACGCGAGTGGCGAGAAAACCAGAAGGTTTTACTCCATAGGTCAATACCAAAAGCTCTAAACATTGAAAAGGGAGTGACGGTTTTTCACGCCAAAGGATGTTTTGCAAGAAGGTTTGTCTGGGATCAACTCTAACTTGTCTATACATTTTCTTTATATCACAAGTCAATACAAACTTTAAAATTCTGAATCTGCAAAGTATATCATAGAGTTCCGGTTGTACTTGATAACCTTTCATGGTTCTATCGTTTAGAGATATTCCAGAAGAAGTGGGACAAGAAGCGTCAAAAACGACTCTTAATTTAGTAGTCACACTCGAATCTTTCAAGACACACAAATGAGGGATAAAATATTTATTGTGGCCTTCAGGGGTTTTTAGTGTTAAAGGGATGTTCCTAGCGTGTCCTAGTTGCACAAATTCATCGATGAATTTTTTGTATTCTAAGAAGAGAGAGGGATCCTTTTCGAATCTTCTTTCTAGACTAATAAATCTTTTCGATGCATTCGAAAAGGAATTTCCGAGTTTCTCATATTCTGAGGGAGTTTTTAGAGGAATAGAAACTTGATATCTACCATCCTCTAAGACCTTGGTAGTTGAAGTGAATATTTTTTCGGCAGCGGACTCTTCTTCATTCAGGAAGGTCTTAGGCGGAATTTGCTCCAGTTCCCAGAATTTTGCGATAGTTTTTTCTAATTCAGTGGTTTGAGCGAGTAAGGAGACCTTTCCGTGTGCAC